ATTGTCCCAACCTCTCTGGATTTAACGTTGTCTAATCATTTGACCTCCACATACTCCAAATCACTCACATAGTGCATACTGCAACTAGCTGGAAGTAGTTGTCTTCAAGATCTTTCATCCATTCCTCAGGGGATCAATACCAGGAGGCAGGCTATTTTAGTGAACACTTTGATAAGAGTTACAACTTTGGTCCACTGTTTATTCACAGCTGATTTATTTGGCTACTATAGTTGACATCTTTTTAGTCTTTCTGCCTTCCTGTCCTCTTGCATCTCCACTATGCCTTTAGTCCCTCTCTCCTCAAAGGCCATGGTGTAAAAGCAGTCACCTGTAAAGATGAATTGAAGCTTATGGCCGCTGATTGATGCGATGGAATAATCCTGCTCACCGCTGGCCTGGGACATAGACTCCACAGTGACCTTGTGTTGGATTTTACCCCGGCTCTGGGACGCGAATAATAGGTGTGGCACACGCACACCTATCCACAACGCTGCATCCTAATCCCTCGCACTATGACTAGACTGATTGCGCTCAGCAGATTACATCATTAGTGACTCAACGCTTAAGAGGTTTGTCAGTCGGCTCACTGACCATGTATGGTGTGCTTTGTAATTGTATTGTGGTTTTCCTGTAGTTTTGGGCATTGAAGTATTGATCAGACTAAATGGAGAGACAGAGGGTTTTAAAGGGGGGTTTTAAAAATGAATCAAAATGATCTTTCACTGTCTCTCTCCTCTTCCTCACTCACTGTCTCTCTTTCTCTCTCCATAATGCATGTCAAAACATGAAGAGAAAGAAAACAAACATCTTCCCCAGCGATGGCATTAGCTCTGACCCCATTCATTTGAAATGCTGACATGACATTTCCTGAATACCGAGAGAAAAGCCAGAGAGTTAATGGGCTGCGACCAAATTTCACCAGAAAAGGCTTTTGCTATTTGTTTTTTTTAGCCAGTTCTGCAATTTAATGTCACCAATAGAACTGCACTGGCTTGACACCTTGAAGTGACGTTTCAACTCTAATCCATTTTACATCGCGGAAGCACTTTCATTTCACTTTGATTGAGCACATTAACTTTCAGCATGTAGTTCAGGGGCAACTGCTACTTTTAGCTCCGCTGGTCCCTGTTACGTTCGGCCTTAACATTGAACATTGTCAATAGGCAAAGTAAGCAGTCTGAGTGTGTTGTGGGTGTAGTTGTGAATATTCTTTATAACGAAAGATTAAAGTTTGGTTAAAACAGGCTCAAGGTAGGGGAAAGGACCCTCGCACAAACACAAAACAGATGGCTTCACAGATGTTCCACATTCAGTGCAGTCATTCATATTTTCTTTCAATCGTTTCAGTCAGGTCAAGATCAAGAGGCAAGCTTCACAAAGCTTAAAGACTGGACTGAACAGGCTATTAGTCTGACACTGTCCATATATTGTTAGTATGCATAATAAGTTGACTACTTTGCTTGTCACCTGACCACAACACCCTCAACCTTTATAGCTGTGTTTGAAAGTGACCCTCAAAACAACTTTATAAATTAGGGATTACCATCCAAAACTATGTGTTTACAGCCAATTTAGCAACTCTGTGACACGCTAACGTGCAACGTAATCACACTGGCAGGAGAACAGGGGCGGCGCCAGGGGGTGCTGAAGCACCCCCCAGGATTGCCAAAGCACCCCCTAAGCACCCCCAAGAAATGTGTTTTTTTTTTTTTTTTCGAAAATTATTATTATTATTTTTATTAAATTAAATTAGAAATATTATTGATTACATCAATGCATATGTGAAACAAACACATTTTTGACCAAAAACATAAAGCCAACACAGGTGATATGATTGGGCCAATGGCCAGCACCAGAGCCATATAATAGAAGAGTTACGACAACGGAAGTCCAAAAACGGTTATCGTCACGTGGTTCATGTAGAAGAGGATCGTTCCCCGGAAGTTCATGGCGGGCAATGTGAATGCATTGATAACAGGAGATAAAACTACGATTTTTGGTAATTATTAGTAAATAAAGGTTTTGATTTGCAATATTTATACAACAAATCGATATGTGTATGTATTTACATCAATATGTTTTAAAAAATTAAATAGAATTTGCTAATATTAAGTGATAATATTAGGATTAGTGTGAACAACTAGTTTACATGTTAGGCTAACAGTGCCTTGGTTAAAGAGCATGTTGCTGTTTATTTATAGCTTTGAATTCTTTAAAACCAATATTATCTTCTTAAACTTGTATGGTTGTCAGGAGCATCACTTTCTAATGTGTATTGATATATTTAGAGGGAGGGGATCTAAAGTAATGCTTTAAAATTCAGATTAGATTAATGTCTACCATTTTCTTAAATTCATGGTAGTTTCAGTAATCCCCTGGTAATTGAGGACACAAGTTATCTAAATGACTAATGTCATCTTTATGGCTTTCAGAAAGGACAGGAGACCGACAGGTGACTATCAAAGGACTAGCAGCAGCAGCATGATGATGATGATGTTAAATGTGTTGTTTTAGGAACATCCATTGCAAATACATGGAATTCAATAAACATTGAATAGCATATCATGCAGTTTGTCTGTGCCTTTTCCTCCGTGTTGTCCTGGTGTGCTGTGCTGCCTCCTAGTCGCCACCATGGTTTGCTGTGCTGCCTGGGGATGCTCAAATCGCTCCGAGAAAGGAGTATGTACGGCTTCCCCACTGACACAGAGCGGAGGAAGCAGGAGCAATTTCACGACCAACAGCAAAAAAATATGTGATTTATATACAAACACTGTATTTGCACTTTTTCACAAAACGAAAACCACACCATTGGGAAAGCTTAATGTTTTGTTGAATACAAACAACAGGGAAAGGCTTGAAAAACACAGAGTTGAGACTCAGGGTGCAGGGTGAGGGTCTCAGTGCAGGTATTCAGGCTCCATTGAATCCCCCTCTGGTTCTTGTGCTGAAAGAGGGAGTAACAGACAGGAGAAAGGGTTATACACACCTATATAGCACACCTATTGGATGGGAAATTGCCTTGGGGAGATAAGGTGTGGTCTTTGTTCCCAACTGAAGTTATGGAACTTTATTATTTGTGAGTTTAACAAAGTATGACAACGTGTGTTGCTAACTTGATTCGGTATCCTAGCTTGATCTGTTATCTGTAAACGTTCCCTAAATCTACTAATTTAGGGATAATCCACTGACATCCTTTAATACACATGTTAAATTGAATCAGATGTACTGATAATATCCGCAATATAAATCTTTAAACTTCTTCTTACCTTTAAAAGTCCGTCACGAACGGTCTGTTATGCTGCAACTCTACCGCTCTGCTAGCCTTGGCGCTAACTTCCGGGGAACGATTGAGAGGCTCCACGATCCGCCATTGCTGTAAAAAAGTGGTCAATTGGAGTGAACGGAGATGTCGTACCTCTTCTATTATATGGCTCTGGCCAGCACCCATTCGATTGGATTTTTGACCTACCCATAGGCTAAATTACTTTGTGACACTTGAGTGACTTCCTGTTAGCTAGAGAGCCAAATGATTTGCTAACAGCAAAGTGAAAAATTGATCGTTTTTTAGTCCTTAAACGTCCACGTGTGAAACCAACTGAAAGCGAGAGGGATTCTGCACATAATAGGCCTCGTGAGTACAAGTAGCTTACTTCTGGGTCTCTGTGTTTGCTCTGTGTGTGTGTGTGTGTGTGTGTGTGTGTGTGTGTGTGTGTGTGTGTGTGTGTGTGTGTGTGTGTGTGTGTGTGTGTGTGTGTGTGTGTGTGTGTGTGTGTGTGTGTGTGTGTGTGTGTGTGTGTGGCACGAGCCATTTTGTGTGCGTGCGCGAGCGAGCGAGAGAGCTCGCCTCGCGCACCAGTGGGTATCTACCGGAGATCGTTGTGGTTAGCATCTGGTGCTAGCTAGCCAAGCTAACGGATATAAGGAGCTTTTTCAACAACAAGGTGGAGGGAGAACTCTCTCCTGTCAGACGGAGAGTCTCAGGTAACCTCAACTAAGGTGAAGTAAAGGACTCTCAGTGTTTAGATAGTTAACTTTAGTCTAGTTATCTCAGTGGGTCTCAAACGGTTTGTTTTAAAAGGGGAGTGATTTGTAAAATATCTAAAGAAATAGAAAATCTGTTGACAGTTCTGTTTCGTATGGGTGTTGAGATGTATCCATAGATCTCTTAATGCTGCTCTCAAAGTGCACCAGATTGATGCTTTTAACTTCAATATTTAACAAAAAATCTTCCCGGGGGAGCTAGCCCCCGAACCCCCCTAGAGGAAGTGAGGACCCTCCTAGAGGAGGTGAGGTCCGCTCCCCACTTGTAAAAATAGCACTTTACCCCTGCCTATATGCCGTGAGCTGATTATCGAGCCTTCATTGTAACAGTCGCGGGTGCACTGTGTGTGTGTGCGTGGGGAGTGTTGCAGTAGAAAATGCAACTGTAGCGCTGGTGCATTAATGGGAAACCCTAAATGTTTGAGCACCCTCTATGAAACGTCAAGCTACCCCACAGCACCCCCTAGAGAAAATCTCTGGCGCCGCCACTGCAGGAGAATAGGGATGATCTATTTAAAACTAAAACTAAAAACAGGTGCAATATGCAGATGTTTTAGGTATAGAGCTATTGACATGACAAACAAATGTCCATCCATTTACATTAGTGCACCCAGTGAGGCAAGTTTTAAAAGACTCCCAAATAAAAGCAATAACCCCAATGATAATTGACCAAACTGAACAATTGATAGACCAAACACATCCGATTGCAATACGATGTGTTGTGTTGTTTTGTTTCTTACCTCAACTTGTGTTCGTCTTCCCATTAAGACTTTTGTTACATGTCTTGTTTTATTTGTAATGTTTTGTTGTGTGTGGACCTCAGGAAGAGTACCTGCCAACTTTGCTGCAGCTAATGAGGATCCAAATAAAGAAAACAGCACTGGTGTACATGCCTCAGACATTTTCCTGTATTCTTCAGTATGTTTCATGGTTGTTTTCTTCTGTGTCTTGTTTTCCAGGTCCTGGCAATTATCTCCATCCTCTTCATTGTGTTGTCTACCATTGCCTTGTCTCTGAACACCCTTCCAGAGCTGCAGGGCACAGATGAGTTTGGTCAATCCACAGACAACCCCGCAACTGGCCCATGTGGAAGCTGTGTGTATCGCCTGGTTTACCATGGAGTACCTGCTCCGCTTCATCTCCTCCCCAAGCAAGTGGAAGTTCTTTAAGGGTCCTCTAAATATCATCGACCTGCTGGCCATCTTGCCCTACTACGTCACCATCTTCCTGACAGAATCCAACAAGAGTGTGCTGCAATTTCAGAACGTTCGTCGCGTGGTTCAGATTTTCCGGATCATGCGGATCTTGCGCATTTTGAAGCTGGCTCGTCACTCTACAGGTCTCCAATCTCTGGGATTTACTCTCAAGAGGAGTTATAATGAGCTGGGCCTGCTTATTCTCTTCTTAGCCATGGGCATCATGATATTCTCCAGTCTAGTGTTCTTTGCAGAAAAGGATGAAGAGGATACCAAGTTCAAAAGCATCCCAGCTTCCTTCTGGTGGGCTACCATTACTATGACAACAGTTGGCTATGGAGATATTTACCCAAAAACCCTGCTGGGAAAGATAGTTGGGGGTTTGTGCTGTATCGCTGGAGTACTGGTGATAGCCCTGCCTATCCCCATTATCGTGAATAACTTCTCTGAGTTCTACAAGGAGCAAAAGAGGCAGGAGAAAGCTGTTAAAAGAAGGGAGGCTCTGGAGAGGGCTAAGAAAAACGGTAGCATTGTTTCTATGAACATGAAAGACGCACTTGGCCGCAGTGTAGAGCTCATGGATATAATGGTGGAAAAAAGTGATGAAAATAAGGAGAAGGGACAAGATAATCACATTCCTCCAAGTTTGGAAACAGAGACACCTAAACTCAAGTCACATATGAGCCCGCGCAGCCCCACCAAGACCCTCGAATCGAGTTACCAAGAGCAGGCCAAGCCGTCAAGCAGTCCTCAGCATCTTAGCGCACAGAAACTGGAGGAAACATACAACAAGATGACTGGGGTCTCGCCACAACCCGACCTCATAAAGAAAAAAGGCCCACTGCCTAAAATAGTTAGGCAGAGAGCTGAATTAGAGATGGGAACCATCCCCGCTGAAGCCATCTTAAGCAAAAGAGAGACAGTTTCAGACATGAGGAGCATGTCCAGCATTGACAGCTTCATCACCTGCGCCACTGACTTCCCTGAAAGCTCTCGTTTTTCACACAGCCCCATCAGAAGCATGCTAGGTAGAGTCAGCACCAATCCTAGCCTGGAGCCCACCTTGGAGAATGAGCATGAAGGATCCCAGGGCACCACCACCCCCTTGACAGGGCGAGGCACTAAGCTGGGTCCGTACTCTGACAGGCCCAGAGATCTGCGCTCAAACAACCCGCTCAAAAGCCACTCGCTCAATGTTAACTTCAGAGCTGGGGAGGATTCAGGGACAGGGGCCTTCTCAGACAGCTCGTCAGTCCAGAGCCCTGAGGTGTCCGTCTACACAACTGCCAGAAGCAGCACTCCCAGCAAGAGCCCGGAGAACTTACCGCCCAACAGCCTCTTCACATTCCACGACGCATCCGTCAATACATTCATAGATGCTGACACAGACGAGGAAGAGCACATGCATGATGGTTCAGGCAACAACACATCCCAAAGACTCCATCCAGCCAGCCATCACTCCAGCTTCCAGCAAGGTCCCAACCATATGGAGGGTCTGCAGAGGAGGCTGGGGAACAGGAAACTGCCGCTGGAAGGACAGGAGAACCATGTGGCTCAGGAACTACAGCCACTTCAGGGAGAGAACAGCCACTCTAAAGCTTACAATAAGTGAGAGACCATGAAGGAGGAAGCCACTATGGAAGTACAAGAAGCACAATGAACTCAGAAAACTCCCAAAAATATGAAAGGCACTGAAAACATTTGTAGGAACATTTCTATAATTACAACAATATAATTCTTCCCCCCTGAAAATCGTTTTGGACAATGGGAAGGAGTTTAGCTTTTTGCTCTTTAACTTGTTCCCACTAAGGACTCCTGATGTACCTTATTTAAGAGAGGACTAATAGCTTTTAAAATGTCAAAAAAAATGTGTGTTTAGTTTAGATCCTTATATAATAATTCCAGCCTAGTTGTAAGAATATGATATCATTTTTATAAGCAAATCCTATTTTTCTGACATCCATACCATACCACTTTAAAGCCACAATAGCAGAAGCTGTCCAAACAGTAGCAAACAACAAAGGGCATTAAATCAAAACGTGAAGGTCATTCAGCTGAGATCATTCAAATAACTACGTTGTTGTGTGAAAGGGGAACTTACATTTGAATGTATTGCTTACAGTATATAATTGGCAGGAAGAAGTATGTTGGAAATGTTTATTTAGATTCCTTTAACTTCAACCTTTGTGTTTGTGTGAAAAGAGAGAGACAGAAAGACTGGCGGAAAATAAATATACTATATAGTATAATAATTATGATGTAGCGTTCGTGATCTTCTAAGTGTGAACTTGATGGAGATCACGTATTTCAGTCTGAGTTTGATGTCGCTCGTATTTTTTACTGCACAGAAAACCTTTTTAGACAACACGCAGAGAGACACTGTGAGGCTGTATCCATACATTTAACTTTTTGGTTCCCAACCGCAAGCAAGGGAGAGCACCTTAAATATTATAATGTTTTATTATGAACACAGAAAAAACCTCTTTATTCTTGTTTGTGTTGGTGTTTGTGTTGTTGAAATCAAAGTTTGAATATGGAGAAAATCTAAAGTCTAATCTTTTATTTATAAACTTTCTCAAAGGTGTTTTAGAGGAGATATCATTCCTATCGTAGCTGATCATCTGAACTTTATATACATTGACAGTGCTTATGAGCTGCAAAGAAAGCATTGTGTGGATATTGAACTTGTATAACTGCAACAGCAGAATATAACAAAAAACAATGTATCGTACAAGGTGAAGAATGAAAATAATTTATATTTTTAAGATATTTTCTAAAACAATAGAAACATATATTGTATTAATCTTGCAGTTTTGCATTTAGTATGTATGGCATAGTTTTTGATGGAGTTGCATCTGTAAGGAAATATACTGTAGTAGATTAATTTGTGCTGTTTGCCGCTGTCTCCTCGTAAATGTCCGTCCCTCTCTTCTTTGTGCAATGTAAAGAACCAAAGAACTGTTCTTTCTGATAACTCGTAGATTATGGTAAGTTTTACTGTTTTACTTAAGAAGTGTAAGAAATGTAAGCATTCCTTTTCTAAATCTGACATAATTCAGGGAGCCATACTTGCTCATTTGGTAACAACACGTAAAAAAGCTGTAGAGAGGAAACGAAGGAGGAACCCAGCACTTTATTTTACATTTATTTTGAAAGCTAATTTGATTATTTACACACTGTAGATCTCGGCAAGTGGTCTGCTTTCAGAGATCCTCAACATCACGCTCATATGAATTAACATGACATTTCTTACAAACATAAAGCCACCTCGCAGCTACATACAGTAAGGGGACACAAACAGCATGGAGGTCCCATGTAGGCCGCTTTAGATCAACCAAATATCCTGCATCCTGCTTCTATGTATCCACCTAACTCCAAACACATGATCATCCGGTGCTTTGATGTTCCTTGTAACATGCAACTATGGTTTAATAGCATGTATTACTTTAAAACATAAAATGCAAGCATGCTACAAAGCATCTATTTTTAGTAGTGGGTGTCTATACGCTTAAAGATATTTTAGATCACTGCACATAGCATGAGTTAGACATTTCTGTGCCTTTGCTTTAAACGTACACCTGCCGCGCACACCCAACCTGCCTGAATGACAATTAAACAAACTGTAGCAAATCAACACGAAGAGAACTGGGTCATCGAGCTGTCAGACTGCTATTAGAGCTACAACCCTCGCTCTGATGTCTTTCCTGTACACCTAAACAGTTACGTGAAAAATACCCAATCCACGAAAACAAGCAGGTGCAGACCTACTAAGCGAAGTGAACGTCCACTGTTTCCATGGTGATGGTTAAGATGACTGGATGGCTCGGATTCGATGCAAGCATGTAGCCTAATTTGTACAGACGGATTCCTTAAAGACTCAATATACATTATTAATATACACAGTGTTTACATTGTGTTCATGAATTCATTAAAGCACTCTGTCATGTGTTTTTCACTCCTCACCTGTGGCTTCAGTCTGGTGGATTTAATTATCTAACAAATATGTAAAAGTAAACTGGATTGTGGGCCTTTAAATCAGACTTACGCATCATCCCTTTATGCAGTGTTTAGTTTTTCATGGAAACACTGACAAATCTCAGAACATTGCATTAGTGTGAAGGTAGTGACAGAGAGAGCTGGATTACAGCTGACCCCCCAATGATAGCTGCATTCTTCACCTCCTGTCCAGCTTCATATTCAAAAAAGTAACTCTTTAAAAAAAATGATTTAATTCCCTCAGATAGAAGACTTGCCATCACGCTGTATCATTTATAATGCCAGATTACGCAGACTGTTGTGTTCTTCCATTACTATTTTGTCCAGGATGACGGTGCAGAAATGGCAGTTGTGTTGAGGCATCCTTTTGAGGAAGTGTTAATTTCTGTGATCCTATAAATATCTTCCTTGGCATGAAAATAGAGAGTCTGGGCCAGAAGGAAAAGGCTCAGTTACACCAATGTCTGGTCGGATTGGGTCATGGAGGAACACATTTTGTAACAAAATACTCTGGTAAAGGGGAGGCTTTGACAGAGCGTATTATACTGTTTTTCATCAATATATTATAGGTCTCAGATATATACAAAACATGTCTCTGAAGTGTTTGGCTCGAAATACCAAACAGATCATTGTAGCATCCCATAATCCCCTCTGTTTCAGCCCTGTTTCAAAAGTGCTGATTCTGTGTCTGTTAGTTTAGATGAAAGTAAGGAGCCACTCCCCACGCCCCTCTGAGAGATATTTGGTTAAAAAGAACACAATGGTGCTCTAGGAGGAGATTCAGGTGATAAGGTGGCAGGGGTTCCCTTGGTTGGTGATTGGTAATGGTTACACAAGCCAAAAAAACGTTATGACATCACAAAGTGGCCAAAATATGATCAGCTCATTTTCAGACAGGTTTTTATATAAATGGATCAGGAGAAAAAGTGAGTGAATCTTTTTTCCTGAAACGTTCAGAATCTCTTTCCACAGAGGGGACACATGTTTATGTTTAAAAGACGTGAAAAAGTGGATTTTGCATAATAGGTGACCTTTAAGTTAAAATACAGAAACGGACACTGGTGCGTAGGACTTACAGCAGAGCCATAAACGCTGAATGGTAATGAGATAGAAATGTCAAACTACAAGATGACTTAGAATAATGAAGGCATAGCAAACACCGGAAAATACTGGTAAAAAGGGAGTTTGTGTTACAAAGTGAAAACTCATTAACATTCATCACACAACAGTCAGACATGCAGTAAATGCTGACTAAGTAGGGAAGTAAGCCTCTTATCATAGTGGTCTTAGTTCCAAACAAGCCATGGTCAATGTTATTGGTTACAATGATTTATTTCTGTTGGATGAAGGTTAACAATGTCCCTATTTTTTCTTTCAGTCTTGTTTTCTAAACCGCACTTTATTTATTTGTCTTTTTTAAAATCCTCTGCTTTCTAGTTAACATGCGTAGAATAAAATGCTCCAATACTATTTCCAAAAGCACAAAGTTTCAATTTCAATAAGTATATATATTTTTTCTCCAAGCACAATACATCACACTAGAGTTTAAAGCCAATACATCATTTCGTTTTCGGAATCATCCCTCTTGTTGAGGGTGTTACTCTCGTCTGTTCATCACACACAGGTTTGTATTTTGCCCTTACTGTGTGTGAGGTTTGTTTTGTAAAGTTTCATACTTTGTTCCAGTCAACTTCGTAGACTATTATCTTTGTGGTTTCCTGTTGTTCAACGCATGTAGCGCTATTAAACTTTGACACACAAAAATTGTAAATATGATCTAAGAAGCTATAAGACAATGTGAATGATCAGAAATGTTGACACAACTTTCTCATTTTACTGATTGATGCTTAATAAAATACAATAATCCAGTGTTGGTGCCTCAATCAATTAACTGTGCTTTCGTAAATACCACTAAAACATATACCAGGATTATAATGCATGAGCTAACAGTGACAATGTGCAAGCTTTGGTTTGTGTAATGAATCTGTGTGTTATACAGCAGCACCCTCCAGTGTTAGGTTCTGTGTTCAACCAAAATAAACAAACACAAGCATACATAATGACACGTGATTATATAGTTTGAAAGGATGCCACAAAAAGTTATTTTCATGATCAATTACTCTATCAATTATCTCACAAAAAACTAAAAATGTCCCTCAGAATGTTCTACTGCCCAAACTGACATTTGAATGGTCTTGTTATGTCTGAACAGTCCTTACATATTACATTCAGATAAATATAAAACTAAAAGAAGATGCAAATATATTTCAATCTATTAACATGTCAAATTGTTTTGCCTTGTCCAATGTAAATATGTTCCAGTATTGGACAGTAACTTCATTTAAATTACATGCTGTACAATTACATTGTATTGACTTGCTATTCTGACAGTTTTTATGATATAGAAAATTATACTTCTTTTTACAAAGGTCTTTAAATGTCATAAACATATTGAAGTCCAATATGTCTATGACATTTTTATGACATACTATAAGATCACTTTTTATAAAAAACATTTATACTGCTAAACTTTTTTGAGTCAGACTTAATTATATTTGACTTTTCTAATTACACACAATATATTTAATTTGTAATTATATATGTATTATATATTATATACTTACTTCATATGTGTTATGTGACATTACGTCATGAAACGTCACGACCAAAGTTTTGAAAAGGATTACATCACAGTCAAAGTCCCAACATTAGGCTTTTCACAAGACGAAAACATTCCTGACGTCAAATAGGAACATTGCACCCTACAGCTAAAACTTCAAAACAAGACCCCAAGTTTAAGTCACCACTGCTGTAAAAGTCTTCATAAAATGTAAGTGAATGTAAAATATAATGAGTAGTAATAAAAACAGAAACGTTACTTTATGAAACATGCTCAAAATGAGGGATTTATGCAGGTGCTTAGCAGTTTATCACCTTAATATTTTACTGAGCGTTGGATAATCCTCCTCACACCATGGATCAGAAATAACTTTGTATGAAAAGCGAAAGGAATGTCTAGTTTACCAGTCATGGGTTGGATACTAAAAATATACTTGTGTGAAAGAATTGTACTGTTGTTTATTTTGGCTAAGGTAAAATATCTTACATAAAAGTCTAAAGATCACAGTAAAGGATAAGTTACTTTTACATAACACAAAATATTTATTTTTAACTTAAATCATGTTTCTAACTGCAAGGGAATCAACGTGAAGTTAAACCTCTAATCAGCTGACTGACTACAAGCTGTAAACATGAACCAAATCAAAATATTATATTAAGAAATTGGTATTCCTATAAAAAAAAAGAGTTCACTGACTTTAAATATAAATATGTCTTCAATAAATATAAATACATTTGGATTGAGATTTCACTCCAAGAAATGTGCTCTTTGGATCCACATAGGTATAAATAGAAAAAGAAGGAAAGCCTTAGTTTAAATGACAAATAATTCATGGTATACAGAAAAAAGTATGATTGTGATGTCAGTTACATTGCCCTTTAAGTTAAATTAATACAATTTGAAATTTAAAAAAAACTAAAATGGTATTTTTTTGTTTGTCGGTTCAAATAAAAACAAAAATCATTTGGGATAGACCTCTGAATCCATATCACATTTTTCTGGATTAAGACTTGAATTATAAACAAAGATACAGTTTTATCTTTCATTCATTTTGTATGACTCAATTCTAACAATAACCATGATTGTTGGATAAAGAGCCCCCAGATTTCCTATACTGTGAAATTAAAACAAATGTAGATGTTGAGTTTAGCGGTATCTTGATGAATTTGTGAGGGACTGATCCCCAATAGCAATACAACTGACACATATATATAAATATGGCTGTAACAAATATAACATACAGTACAAAACAAAAAAACGTTTGTTGATATGTCTGATTATTTATTTTTGTGTAAGTGTATTGTATCATTATATGACAAAACATGTGCAGTCAATAATGTAATCCTTAATGTTAATATAACAGAATCTATGCTGTTATGTGTACATCTCTCAGCTTCATTGTAAACATTCGGCCCATTGCCTGCTGGCTTTGGCTCTGGACCTGAGTGTTATGTTAATCCTCCTCGGTCATACTCTGCACTGTTTATGAACGAGTTATGAATGCACAGGGGTTAGTCCATTAGCTCCTTGGTCATCAGACAAAAATCCATTCTATTGGTGGCCACCATCGAGCGGCGTCCTAATCCTGCACACACGTTATATAAAATGCCCATCGACCGGCGCGTCACGCAACCACCAATACTCCGAAACCTGGCGGTCCGCTTGTTTGGCTCATACCGGGACAGGACGGAAGCATCATGATAATCATAGTGGACCTGCTGCTGATGCTCATCGACCTGACCTACTCCATCCTGAGTGCCATCGTCCAGACTGTCCTGCGGCCGAGGCTCAAGTGCATTGATGGGGAGCTCTGTCTGATCACCGGGTCGGGGGGGCGCGCTGGGGCGGCTGTTCGCCCTGGAGTTTGCCAAAGAGGGGGCGCACCTGGTGCTGTGGGACTGCAACGAGGAGGCCAACGAGCAGACCGCCAAACTGGCACGGGAGCTGGGAGTTAAGGTTCACGCGTACACGGTGGACCTGTCCAAGCGCATGAGCATCTATGAGACGGCCGACAGGGTGAGAGCGGAGGTGGGGGAGGTCTCCATACTGGTCAACAACGCAGGAGTGGTGGCCGGGCGGAGGCTGCTTGACTGTCCCGATGAGCTTCTGGAGAGGACTCTGTTGGTGAACTGCCACGCGCTGTTTTGGGTGAGACTTGACGCACGCATCTTTTACGCACAACCTATGCAATCAAAAAACTTATGATCGACTCAGAGCAAATGTCATGTATCAGGCTGACATGACTTGTGTAACATCAATGCACCAGTCCTCCCCCTGGCCTGTATTTGTGCACTGGTGTGTGAAGGGATCAGAGCAGCACAACAGTATGTCCTAAATGTGTTCAAGTTTCACGAGGAGGATACAAGTCAAAGGCGGTAACATGAAACACATCCCCAGAATAAAAGGAGCCCACCAGTCAATAAATCATGTGATTCTGCCCTTGATCCCCTTTCAGCCTCAGTCTCGTGCTCATACAATAAAGTGTTAAGCTCTTAAGCATCACATTTCAAGATATCACACACATACAGTGGAAGGGTATCTGTTAAAGCACAACGTGTCACTGTTGGCAGCAACAAAAGGACATCAGAGCCAAAATGAGAAATCTGGGCTCATAATAAACTGTCTTTGCTTTCACCCTAGGATTCTACATGGCTCCAGCTTTGTTCAGGATTATGCACTTTATATGAGCACAGCATCAGCCGTAATTAATAAAGGTCTGAAAAATAGATTTGACACAAAGCCCCTCTTCAAAGAGATTGCCTCAAGCCTGGATTCTTAACAATAAGGCTCTTATCATGCGAGTTGTTATATTGTTCCCTTACAAAGTTATAATTCATAACATATAAATGTAGAGAAGCTGCTGCTTTGGTTGCCCTTTGGTCATTAGCCTTGCCTATTCATGTCCCAGGTTCATTATGTTGTAAATAGATTTGTAGTAATAAAAAAACAAGTTTCTTACTGTTATTTCCATTGGTAATGTTATTAATGTTTGTTTAAGGGAATACAATGCAAGTTAATGGGACTTAGGTGAGCCTGTTCACAAAAAATCCTTATGTACAGATTAAGTATGATTTTTCCAGTTAGATACACTGACATACTTAAATATATTTGATTTCAACAGCAGTTTGTAAAAATGTTTGGTCTTACTCTGATCTCATATAATAAGTAAAACACTATTAGTCAATTAATAGTGTAAACACACAATTAAAGTACATTAACATTGGGTCGGGTTGTTAGGTTCCCTTGTATTATTTGGCATAATTTGTATCGTGTGTCAAATGGCATGATAATGGATGATTGATTTTTAGTAAAACTCAATCGTGTGTAACCCAACAGATGACAAAGGCCTTCCTGCCTCAGATGAAAACAACGAACCACGGTCACATTGTGACTGTTGCCAGTGCTCTTGGACTATTCAGCACTGCATGTGTGGAGGTAAGACACAAGATTACTGACTCACTGGACCACAATCTGAACAGACAAGTCCTAGACCAATCAATTATAGTGCACATCTAAATACCAGCATTTACTTTCTTCCTATAGGATTACTGTGCCAGTAAATTTGGAGCCGTGGGTTTCCACGAGTCACTGACGCACGAGTTGCTGGCAGAGGAAAACGACGGCATCAAAACCACTTTAGTCTGCCCTTATATTGTAGACACTGGGATGTTTGCAGGCTGTGAAATCAGGTAGGCCACCATTCGTCATTTAGACTTTAGTTGTTGTCTTACCTAGAAATAATGTTCTATAATGTACACTTGTTTTTATAATGACCAGGAAGGAGCTCCGGGGTCTTATTCCCCCTCTGGACCCCCTCTACACAGTGCAGCAGTCGATGAAAGCCATTTTAGCCGAACAGCAAATGATCTGCATTCCTCGCCTTATGTATATCCCCTTCATAACAAGAGCGTGAGTATAATGTGAAGTGAATGCTAAGGCCATTATAAATTAGAAAGAAAATACATAAATTATTTGGGAACAAGACAATAAATGCAATGGTATTGTTTTTGTTCCTTCCCTTGTCTAGATTGCTACCTTGGGAGGCAAATGTGGCGACCTATCGCTTCATAGGAGGTGACAAATGCATGCTTCCCTTCATCAAGAATGTTGAACTAAAGAATGCCAACGGCCACGTCAAATCCTAAGACCTCTCCGTCAGTCTCGATTATAACCGTGGACCAATGCAGACTAAAGGCTCCGAGTGTTTATCCTTAACAAATGAAGGGAGAGCCAAATACCTGCAGGTTTATCTTTACATATATGTCGGGACATTTCTGGTTTTATTTAACCATTACTAGATCGAAAGGGGAGCCAGTGTTTGCTTGATGAAAAGGAATTCCACCTCCTTATAAATCAAGAGAAATATAGATTTATATGTGTACCGGAGGCCAAAGAGCCAGAAGTGATAAATGTTTCTAAAATAATGCTCCCAGAAAAGAGGCTGCGATCAGAGCAGAGCTATACAAGTGCCTGTTTATTCACATTAACAAACAGTGGGGAAACGAAGACTTGACAATGACCAGTTGGCGGGGTAACATGCAACAGAAAAATATGATGTAATGTTTAAGCCACAGATTACAGTTTTTCAAAAATGTAAAAGGAATTCAATCATACAAAAGAAGCGCTAAATAAACCCCTCCCATGTGATTGTGATGTTCAGCGTTCCCACAATACTGCTGAAGTGTACCTCTGCTGCTGCCGTTACTGTAATAAACTGACAATTGTATGGAAACTTGTAATCCAAATCCTTGTTAGTCTTTGCCACACAGCAAACAAAGGGCTCAAACGCAAAACCGCAATTCAGTCGAGTCAACTTTTGGTCATGTCTTTAAAAACCCTTAAAAACAGCTTGCATCTGAGAAAACACCCTAAATTCAGGCAAAACCATCAGAAAGCAGTCAAACCAAATCTATTAAGATTCAAATTCAGCTGAAGCAGTTCTGTCGTGTGGCCACAGTGGATACTCCTGCAGTGTATTGTACTCCTTATTAAGTGAACCCCATCACATCGGGTTCAAACCAACTGCACAGTGGCTGCCTGTAAGTAACCCTGCAGGAACTGGAGGGCGTCTGCATTCAGACTGGTGCTCAGCATTGAGGGAACCTGCAATTGAGAAAAGAGGCAAGAATTACTCGTTTGCTTTCTGCATCGTCACATCCTCTGTTGCAGATCACAGCGCTGAAGTAATGATTTATTTTATTCAAAACAAATCCAAACTGTGCACTGACTCGGTGGGAGGCAAGGGGCCATACTGAATACTGGATAATTGTTCAATAATGTGTAGTAAATTAATTAAATATAAGAATGGGCATTGATTATTTAGTGGCCATCCACGAGGATATGAATATATTTTAAGATAGATAACCTACACATGATGGTGTTTTCCCCTTAAATATTAACAACCCACCTTAGGTAGAAGAAATACTTCCACTGTATTATTTGTCCTTCCTGAGTTACGTATTCTGTACCACAGAACATGACCTGTGGCACAAGTTGCACAGTATGTCCTGCACGTCTCTACATACCCTTCCCGGACAGGCAGTAGAGAGTTTGTGGAGCGACTGGGCCAGCAGGATCTTGGGGTTGCCGACAGCGTCTCCTATCGGGTCGTGCTCCTTCTTCCCGGCAAAGGCCAGCTGTGAAAAGGCCGTCTGATAGCCTGGTGTGTCTTCAATGTCAATGAAGTGCTCATCATCCGGGATGCTGTCATCTTCTGGCAGCTCAAAGAAACCAATGAGAGCCTGGAGCAGAGGGGTCCTGAACAGACATGAGAAACCCCAAAACTTCAGGTACAGTTTAACTCAGGACAAGAAACTATTACATGTCATTCAGGATGTTTTGCACTATTGCATCATTTGTTCTGTTTTACACTGTTGGAGGAGCCTGTGACCTAAGATTTTCATAACTACACTTTAGCTATGTACGAATGACCAATAAAAGCCTTGAACCTTGTATGAGAAGAGTATTTCCAATCAATCAAACTGTTTTCACACACCCGCACAGTACTGGATTGTTAGTGGACTAAAGGTTCAGGGACTTTAACCGAGTAACTTTATGAAAAAAGGAACTAATGGTTGCATTTCCTCCAGACGGATCTCTTACCAAAGTTTAGTGTACTCCGTGTCCATCATTGACGGACATTCAGTAAGGATTTTTGTGATGCCAACAGCGCAGATCTTCTTTTCAACCGGTCCAGACACCTTCTGAACCTCTGGGATAATTATTTTCTCCAACACCATACCAAACATCCTGCAAGACAAAAAGCAACCAGGATTACTACGTTACATATTTACACTGATCCAGATGTTCCTGTACTGATCCTGATCCAGATGTTCCTGTACTGATCCAGAGCCAGCTTTTGTGGTTTTGATGTCTTTAAGGTCAACAGAACATATTCCACTGCCTGAATGCTACACTGACGGATGAACCCACTCAATAACCAGTCAAACATGAGTCTACTTCTGTCAACATCTTCTGGTGTATATGGAAATGAAACTTACTTTGGCTGGATGCTGTCGAACATCTCCTGAAGTGCAATGGCTCCGTATTTGACACAATACAGGTTGATAAACACTAAGAAGCCTGTGAAAGAAAACAAGTCACAGCAGCATAAATAATAAATAGTATTCAAAACTAGAAAATGTAGAGAAATGTTCACTGTGACTGAAACGTGGGTGTGCGTCCCGATGCCAACTGCTGAGTAAGTATTAATAGCATTAGTTATATTGTTATGGTACAACAAAGAATATCCATTAATTGTAGGTCACTTTTAGCTGACTATTTTAACTGTTTATCTATTACATTTTTGATTGTTGTAATTTTCTAAATGAATCACTGACATCAGATGAAGAGCTTTAAACAGAACATGAACATTGGTAAAGAGAGGATTGTACTAACTCTTGATGAACTTGGTGGTTTTGGAGCCTTGGAGCCTCTGGAAGAGCAAAATATAGATCTGTTTCCTGTACTGAGTGATAGACTCTCTGGCAAAACAAAAAACATAAAGGTTAAAATACATATCACCAACACATTCCACCAGTTGAGAACACAGCTATAGTGAACCTACGCGGGCATGTACTCTATGATGCTGTTGATCAGGTAGAAACCTTGGTGGTCGTTGGCCTTGGAGGCGATAAGCTTTTGGAAAACTCCAAGCAAGCCGGGCTGAGAGGGAAAGATGAGCACGATGATACTCAAGTGTTAGAATAGTGTCCACACAATGAATCAATCATACAACATTTAAATGATAAGAAATTGAATAATAACTGCTGTATACAACACTCTCCCCACTTACGATTTTATCAGCAGCAGAGCTGGCAATAGAGGCACCTCCCTTCTCCAAGTAAGCCTGAAGCAGGCGCACGAGAGGGGGAATGTTCCCTGTCCGCTCCCAGAGCACGGGCTGCAGCAGGTGAGGGAATAACGCCATGTAGGAGGAGGGAATAGAGTTGGAGTGGATCTCTAGGAGGAGAGACATCACCTGGAACACGTAGGGAAGAAACTCTGCAAGAGAACAGAGAAGGATGAGAAGAGTTACCTCTACAGCAGGGGTGTCCAAACGTTTTTCACCGAGGGCCACATACAGGAAAATATACAAAGGGCTGGGCCACTAACTAGAGGTGAGGTATATTGCCTCATAAGTTCAATTATAAGTTAGCAAAATCAATCAACTGTAGGTCAATGATGCGTGTGAGTGTTGGCAGCTCATCCCTTAAAACAGAAACCTCAGATTGATTATAATAATGAGAAATAGGAAGGGTGTATTTCAAGCTTGTTATGTAAATAAGTCATTGGGCTTTTTTCTTATCAACTAAGATATGTTAGAAAATGTCTAACTTTAATTGACTGAATTTATTTGAAAAGTGGTCTTATTAACACATGGATACTAGAGTGTAATATATTTTTACATTTATAGTTAAGAAGTACAATAGAAGACAAGCACAAGTTTCATTTGTGGGCCATATTCCATTATACTTTTTGAATTTGCTGAGGGCCGATTCAAAATGGTCCGCGGGCCGCATTTGGCCCCCGGACCGTAGTTTGGACACGCTGACGACGAGCTCTACGTCATCAGCGTGTTGATAAATGACAACATAAATCAACTCCATAGGTGAATGACTAACCCTGGACATCGTTCTGCAGGATCTCAGTGAAGACGGGGAACAGTGCTTCCTCGAAGCTGCTGACCGTGGTGGGGTTGGCCTTGCAGGTGATCCGGACCGACAGGCACAAGGACTCGAACAGGTAGTGGTTAAAGTGAGGCTTGCTGGGATTCTGAAAACAAGATGTTGGCAAAGTTGACACGTGTATGCCCTGAACAAGCATCTTGGTGAATCAATCTGCATACATAAAAAGTAAACGGGAGTGTTACCTTGCTGACTAAGAGGAGCTTATGAGTGAGTTGACCAATCAGAGTGGGAATGTAGGGGACGATGGCATCCTGCAGCAGGGAGAAGCTGCGCATGATGGCTTTAGAAGTCAAAAGAAACAAAAAGGCATGATGAGGCTACTTATAATAACTTTGCAGTTGATTCAACACTGACATGGAACTGGTAATGAGGAGCATTTAGATGACGGAGAAAAGTCTGATTTACCTTTCATGATGTATTCATTTTCTTCAGACCCAGGAAGAGCCAATGCCTTGAACAAGTTGTTTAGCAGCTGTTCAGTAAAAGGGGCCATCTCTGCGGGCGTGATACTGAGAACAGAATTAAAGGGTTATTATTATATATAGTCTGAGTGGACTTTACACACATTGCCCCGTTTTTCCTCAGCGGTCTTAATATCGGTTTGTGAGCTGTATATGACTGCTGTTATGGCACCGGTTCTTAAATATAGTGGTAATGATCTCGTTTCATACTGGATTCAGCAAATATGTGAGAGTTACACAGCTTGAATCTTTAGGATGTAAATAATATACTGAACAATTATTGTTGACTTTTTATGCATTTAAAACAATTTGAGCACTGTTAGAAATGGTTTTGGTCCATTCAAATATCATTTCCCGTTTCCTATACTTCTTAATACTTACAGTGTGGAGTTGTTGGGGCCTCTCATGGTGAACAGCCTCTCCAGAGCGTGGGCAGCGTACGTGTGCTCCACTGTGCTCTCCGCCTGCAGGTGACTTATCAGCAGAGGAACGGCCTGCAGCAGCTGCTCCTTGGGCAGCTGAGGGGAACGGACAAAGAGGCCGTCTGTGATGCTTTCATTTTGCCATTTGAACATTTGAAAAGGCGCTGAGAAGGATGACAGTCCATACCTGGCTTCTGAAGATCATGACATACTTGATGGCGTCTGCCTTCAACACTGGGAACTCGTTGACTAAAAAGACAAATGGTGCTTGATGTTAGCCAACAAACAACTCAATTTGGAAATAAAAGTTTTCCCACAACTCTCAGAGCCAAGTCTAAAGTAAGTTGCTGTTGTCACATAATACATTTTTATGATTCTATATAATATTAAGAAATGTGGATTATTCTTACCATTGGGGGATTTTAGGTCTGAGAGAATGTGGTTCACAAAGAACTCATTCAGATCCACCAACTCATTGGCTTGTGTTATCCCATGCTGGTGAGGGGGGAAAAGACAATCACTCAAACAGTTATTCTCATTATATCAAACACTTTTATAAATGTACCTTTTTACTAGCAGTTATATATTCAACACTGCTCTGAATATGTTTGCAACGTACCTTCTGTGTCTGTGCTTTCGACGCCAGTGATGTGACCAAGTAGATGGCGGCATCTTTGTGTTTCCAGTTCTGCCCAGGGCTCTTGGCGTACTCTCCCAGCATAGAGTTCACATAGCCAGAGAATATTGCTGTGACAGGGCCCTCAAAAAACTTACAGAGGCCCCTCACCAGGTCACATGCGGCCCTACGACGAGTGTCAATGTCTGAGGAAGGATAAACAGTGGGGACATGGTTAGAGCATTTTCTTCACAGTTAGTTATTTATGTGTGAACTTTGAGTGCAAAACAAACCAACAACAAATAAAATAACTATGCATTTGGGGTTTGACGGATCTTATATGCCAGGAGACCCTTCCCAAAACAATAGTTAAACTCAACATGTGAAGAGGAACTACATATTTGTTTGTGTATTAATGTGAATGGTTTGCATTGTGCTAAATCTTTACCAGATCCTTCAAGGTCCCTCCGGATGTATTCCTCAGAGTTATCTTCAAAGGCCTCCTCATCTGCACCTGATCAGGATTACAAACATCCTTGTCAGTTTCACAAAGTGCAGGTGTGTGTACCTGCAAGCAAAGCCCTGCACCAGCTGAAAAAAAAAGGAAGCATTTACTTACTTCTGAACTCCATGTTGGGCACAATGACCTTCTCACAGATGCTAGTGAGCGTGTTCTGGTCCTCAAATAGATGCTTGTAGTGTGGCCTTTCACACACCGATGCCAAGAACTGGATAGCATTGCTCACAAGCTGCAACAAATACGAGGTGCATTGTTAGTAGAGGAAAAGTGAACTTTGAAAAAGGACACATAAACACAGTCAGGGTACACAACTCTCACCAGGTCATATTTGACTTCCTGGCCAGTAGAAACTAAAAGGTTCCAGATGGCCGTGACAAAGCGCGGCAGATAGGGCTGGAACTCTTCATCGTACTTCTGAGCGTAGAGAGCTGCATTGTCACAGATCTGAGACTTCAGCAGCTCCAGGAGACCTGCTTCCTCCTCGTCCTAAGAGACACAGCCACACCATTCAAATCTCTGTTGCACCGCAATGGTGGAAATGTTTTGCATGAGTGGAGAAAAAAAAGGAAATAAATACTCACATTTGTTTGTAAAAGTTTATTATCCAAAGTTAGTAGGCCGTGAAAATTGGTCATCCACGTTTCCATGTTGTCTTCGAAAAACTCTGGAAGGTCCTTTGTAATAATACAGAGTTCAGTTGAAAGCACATTTTTCACATCTCTGATGGAAGTGTAAACTCATTACTAAAACAGTATATATATATATATATATATATATATATGCTGACATTTACATGGGGCAAATTCATAACGCATGATTGCCTTTCAATAATTACACATTCATTACAACTTAGAATTACTATTTTGTCACATCAATAAAAACAAATGATGGCAAAACAGTTCAGAAAAGCAAAGCCTGGACGCACAAAGCTAATTGTACTGACCTGGAAGTTCAGACTGTAGAAGAGCTTGGAGATGAGTGTGAGGGAAGAGAAGAGGACCTTCAAGGCATTGACATCTGTAGCATGAGTCTGACACAACTCAATAGTGGCCTACAGCATAGAGTGAACATTGAGAATGAACAAAACTTCATCATATTTGTAATTAGCCAAAGTAATACCTTGCTTTGAAGTTTATATCTTGTTAATTAAACATGTATATTTTCTACTTTCTTGTTTATTTCTTGTCTTTTCATTTGTATTGTACAATGCCATGTCTTTTTATGCTGCTGTAACACAAACATTTCCCAAATTGGGATCAATAAAGTACTATCTTATCTTATATCCATGTACAACCTTTTGAGATGGGTTAAGAGTTGCGGTAAATGAACGTCAAGTCATTACAAACCTTGAACAGCTCCGTCAGAGGAAGGGCAAACGTATCCAGCACTAGTTTGATCTCTGTCCAAAGCTCGTTTGACTTAAACTCATGGCGGTACCTTGGGGACACAACGGTTTTTTTAAATTAATAAAATGTGTTTAAATGTAATAATTACACTATTTTTAAAATGATGAAGCAATGAGATGTACCTTTTAAAGAGAGAATGTGCAGTACGAAGCACTCCATTGATGATGTGAAAGTCTCCACTTATGAAGCGGTTCACCATCTCAGTTAGCAGGTCGGGCCATTTCTGAGGGAAGTCTTCCCTTCCTATGATACTGATGGCATCACTCAACTGTGGAAAAGCAAAGCATAAACAGGGGTTTGGGTGAGTATCTATTATACACTTTTAAATTAGATTTGTTTAAACACTATAATAATAATATGTGAGGATGTACCTGTTTTTGAATCTGTTCTGGGCTGCTTAGCATCAAATTGACTATGTTGGCTTTGATCGCTGTTCGGTCTGCATCAGAGACTTTGTTTGGTTCATCTTCAACCTTTAGAAAAACATGACAAACGCAGGACAATCAACTACAACCCCAGAATACACTTAACACTTGTTCTGATCAGACTTTGTACAAAATGCTACTTGAGGTAGTTTGTCCCATGCAGCCTCAATCTGATGCCAGACATGCAGGGTGAGACACTGTACCTACACACAAGTAGGCTGGAGGATATATTGATATCATATTGGTGTTGTGATATTAGACTAGACATCATCTTATATTTTGAATATTGTAATATCTCATACATATTACAGTCTTTCTCTGGTTTTAAAAGGCTGCATTACAGTTAAGTGATACACTTGTATAATACTGAACATACTGGACTGTGGACTGTACTCTTATTGTGTAAATATTTTTTGAAAGCACAAATAGTCAACCATAGAATATACATCCCGAGGTATTTGTCCTTTATAATTGTGATGTTTATTTTCTCCACAATATCCATCCCTACATACAAGATACTAGTGTAAACAACATGTAAACATGATGTTACTCAGTGAGACTCACAATGCGCCAGTTTCTTTTTATGTAATTCTTGAAGGTAACCGCAGCACAGACTCGAATGACCTGGTCTTGGGACTTCTCCAGCATAGTGAGCAGTAACAACGGATAGTTCTGGTTACCCTCCACTGATTCAAGAAACTTTTCAGCTAAGAAAAAATAGAAAGCAGGTGTTTTACAGGAGAGACAAGTTAATCATTAGCATAAAAAGGTACATTAAAACATGTATTTTTTATAAACCGTATGAAGATATGCAATGATGTGTCATTACGATGTTTTACCTGGACGTCTGACTGCTGGATCTGGGTCCAGTGTTTTCCTGAGGAACTCGGTGAGGGTTTGGAGGTTAGCATCATTTAGCTCCATGCTTGTCACTAAAGAGAGAGAATGAGAGAGATAACTCAGTATTTGGAAACTATTCAAAGTTTAACGTGACACACATGTGTGACATTGGTTACTGTAAGATCATGATACCTAAAAGTTTATAAATGCGGGCAAAATGCAATTGTAATTCATGTTTGTTGTGTATGAAATTAGTTTTGTCACTGCTCTAACTAACAAGTCAATGCAGTTCTTGTTACGAAGTTCACATATATTTTTGATAGTTTCAGTCATGCTCAACTTGCATGCATTCAGTCTGACGTTAGCTTGCTAGCAGCTAACAAGCTAGGCCACATAGCCTCAAACTGACGTTAGCTCAGTTGGCCCCGCTGACTGCAGATCGGTTTATGCAGTCTGATGTCTAAGCTAGCTGTCTAGAAAGCTGTCTATTTTCCTACAAGTTAAATACAAGCACATGGCGATCCCTGCATCAATTTAACGAACAGTTATATTAAACAGAAGTTATCTCCTGATCCAATGTCCTAAACTAAACTAATTTACCGTACAATCTTATCTAAAGCCGCATAGAAGGCAGTATCCCATTTCCATGGAATAGACTGATCCAGGTCCTCCAAGTCAGCCTGCTAATGTTAGCTGCTAGCATGCTAATGTGTTTTCTGCTAAGCATAAAGTTAGCTAACAGTCCAAACAGTTCAGATTTACTGCCAATGTATTGGACCAGCACCTAATTTACAAGTGTGTACCCCGCATGACTGTATATAATTCATGTTAAAGCACCAGGATATCTTACCGTTACAGTATATTCAGTCAGGATGGGAGGCACGACAACCCGATTAGCCGCGCGCTCACCGTGCCAGCTTTCAAACGTCTGAGCAAAAGGAACTACGCGGTCACCATACTACGCACGCGCAGAAGACAGAGGAACGCTCTTAGACACGCCCCTTGCTCGGTCTCCATCAAGTACAACACAAGACAACTTTACATAAAATACTCTAATACTTTAATCATACCTGCCGATGCTGTACATCATGTATGTTGTCATATGTATTTATGTTGCTATCTGTATGTTTAGTTAGTTGTGAAAACAAATAACCTTCTGGGGAAATAAATCCAATACAGTTCAAGTAAAATAGCTTTCCTATGTACAATGTCTTGTCTTTTTAAAATAATATTAGGGTAGTCTATTCTGTAACACCTTGTACATGCAGTTCTTGCGCTCGCCCTGTGGATGCATTATTCTTTGCACTGTGTATTCTCTTGTTTATTTTTGCAATGTGTATTTCATTATTTACTTTGTATGTAATATTGTGTGTACAATATTGTTTGACTGTTTGTTTATTACCTTTGTATTCTAAACTACCACAAATAAATGAGTGGTATGTCAGTGAGTGTTTGTGTTGTAAACTGGATTTAAAATGATCCATATTAAATTCTGTATCCTCGTACAGTTGGTCATACTAAGTGAATGAATACAGCCACATTGAGCTCTTCACATTTTAATCGTGAAAGCATAAAGGCATTCAACACAGAATGACAGCCATTAACAATAATGCACTTAGAACAATATATCTGAAATGTAAAACAAAAAACAGCTTCAAACACAGTGAGCTTTTAAAACTACAAACACATTTTTAAACAACAACACAAAGTTAACACTTTTAGTGAGCTTGCCCCCTGCCTGTCTCACAGGAACAGCGGCAACAGAGGCTCAGAATACGGGCATGCTACAGGTTGTGCGTCTGGCGTATGTTTAAGGTGTCTCGCAGCATCAGGTCACGGAGTCGCCAAAGTGCATCTGCCATTGTCTTGTGGGCCCCCTTACTCTTCAGCCAGTGGGATGGCAGTCTGCTCTCCTGCTCTTTAGTGAGGCGCACATCTTGTTTTTGAACTGTAAGTACACAAATAAAACATTAAGATTATACATCTTAGAATATTTACCATTCTACATTAATGTATTAATAATAGGGCCGGGACTCGATTAAAAAAATTAATCTAATTAATTAGAGGCTTTGTAATTAATTAATCGAAATTAATCGCATTTTTAATCACATATACATATTTGACCTGAGAACAGTGAGAAGCAATTTTTTTCACATGGATTTTAGTATACCATTAGGCGCATTCACACCGCAGTACTTTTCCCACAAAGGTTCATGAGAATGTAGTTCATGAGAACTCTTTGAACCTGGGGGTGGATTAGGCAAATGAAGCCGCTGACGTCACATCTTCTTCTTCTGCTTTGGGTTTACTGGCAGGCCGCAAACCACTTCACGGCGTATACTGCCGCCCAAAGTCCCCGGCCGGAAGTCCCCGGAGTTGGGGACTGGCTTCAGTAGAAGCTGCTGGGAGTCCCAGCAGCTTCTACTGAAGCCTTCCGAGTAAATCGCCAGAACGCCGACACCTCCTCATCTCCACCGCTCCCATGGTTTATTTTGTGTTGCCATAAGTTAGTCTCTCTGCGTTTCTGCGCTGGGCTAATGCTAATAATGATAATGCGAGGATAATAAAATGGCGGCTTCACAAAACTTTTTGGGAGTTTTACGGGGCGTGGTTTGCAATCCGCCCAGCCAATCAGAAATATAGCTCTTTTCTCACAAGAGAGCCGTACGAAAGTCCCTGCTCTCTAGCAGCTCTCTGCTCTCTAGCAGGGACTTTCGTGGGGGTAAAAAGGTTCTCATGAACTAATTTTAGTACCGGCTCTTTTTGGTGTGAACGCGATAAAAGAGGCTAACGTCCACGCTAGCTTCCACGCTAGCTGCTATATGTTTTGCATTGAGGTGATACTTGAGGCTTGATGTGCTGCGGTGATATGCGAATTCCTTTTTGCATAATTTGCACACAACCGTGCTCTTATCGACGCTTCCATCCGTCCGTTTTTTAAAACAACATTTCCCACTGTTGTTCACTGTGGTTTGTTGTTGTCTGAAGTCATGAACGTTAGTTGGTGCTCCATTATAATCGGTACGCCTGAAACTCATCCAGTGAGAAACGTTCCGCGGTGCAAAAATAAGTGCGATTAAAATGCGTTAATTTTTGTGTAATTAATTAATCTTAATTAACGCGTTAAAGTCCCGGCCCTAATTAATAACATTTTAGGGTTACTGAATATGATGTTGATGTACTATATTCTGTTCATGGTTTATGGAGTTGAACAAAATATGTATTTAAGTGCATGTCTAGTGTGACTTTAATCACTTGTAATCAAAAAACAAGACTAACCTGAAAGAGCGTGGTCCCACTTGCTGATGGTGGAGGACTCTGCAGTCAGGCCCTCGATGTATCTGAGGTATGCCTCAGAGTGGAGCAGCCGCTGAGATTTGGCTGGTGGGGACACGAACATGGGGGTGGAGGGCTGCTGGTGCGCAGGCTGTCCCATCTGGCCTTGTCCTGGGTACGGTGGGGGAGCCTGCTGCCCTTGGCCAATCGAACCCATCTAATGAAAATATTGGCATTCATACAGGATTACATTTTCATTATCATCTTGAGATAATGGAAGTCCCAATCTGCAACGGGTGTCAGAAAATCTTCAAATGCATCACATAGTGGTTTTTACATGTTCTGTTGATTAGGGCTTCAAGCACAACGTTTTCTACCAGGGTCCGCATATTTAAATACAATGGTAATATGTGTATTATGTTTCTTTAACTAGTGCAGTATTTTAAGTGTAATGTATGTTTCTAATCCCAGACAGATATATGATAGGAATATAATAGTAATATTGTGTAGGGTTTAAAATGATGTGTGAACTGTTTCAATGTTCTATGATTCAGGCATACTTCTGACAATATCTATACTGTGTTTATGAAGAATATTACTGAATAAAATACTTAGTGAATGGGGAAAAGGGCTTACAATCAGAGCTATGCTCCCTTTTACATATGATTGCCTGTTTACAGAGCCTTACAGATTACCTGAGATCCTTGAATGTTTCCTGCTCCATGACCACCTCCCGGGCCATTGACACCTGTGGGGATATTCAACATCAAGACACTGTCAAGAAGTGAAGCAGGCCATTTGATATTGGTTTAAATTACAAATACTAAATTCAATTTCTATAATTAACCAGTGCCATTTTAATATAGACTAGAACAATAAGGAATGCCAATTATTAATATTTTAACTAAAATATATCAGGTTTATGATATTGAGCAGGACAAATAGCTGAGCCCCAGTTGAGGATGTTATCTCTCAACTGACTAGTGATTTCAGGACCTCAACCTATTGGTACAGGTAGCCCCTCCAGCATGTCAGATTGGCAGACAGGAAGCAACTGCGTGGCAGGTGGGGTTGCTATGACAGCACTCTTACCAAAGTACGGCATTCCAGGAAACCCAGGCATAACGGGCAGGAGATGTTGGGGAAAGACAGGCACCCCCATGTGATGTGGTGGCATGCCAGTCATACTAACCATGCCTTCACCGTATCCCTGCATCATAGCTGACCTATATGCACCCATCATACCTTCTTAGGAAGGGACAGTAGTAACACAAGACAGCAACATGCATCAGTTAGACATGCATCAACTACTTGCACTACCAAGCATGCAGAAACATGTTAACATAGATGCTTTCATTCAATCAACAGAGCATTATGATGTTTTTGAACTGAAATAAAAAAGTCACAAAAGTTAAATATGCATAATGAATACCATTTTGTTTACATGCACTATTGTCAAGCACTTATTCATTTTTAAAGGGCAGTGTGTAGAATTTGGAAACAGCTAGTTTCTTGTTGCAGATTTGAATTGAAGTGAATACCCTGCTGCTAACCCCTCCATTTTCAAGACTGCAATGAGCCATCATTGCTAAACCGTGTTCATTTTGTGGTGTCTTCCAGGACCTTAAAATAAGGTCTAAAATGACCCTTCTTTAGAAACGACCTAATTCAGCCTGTGGTGTGCATTACCACACATTTTAACAAATTCAATCTGCTAATATGTTCCCCTAAATACTACACACAGGCTCTTTAAGTCCCAATCCTCAAACAGTGGACAGCAACCTTAAGCTTCATGTTCTGCATTAAAATACAGATATATGGATTCTACCATGATGTTAATAATACAAAGTACTGTACAACACTCAAGGTTTGGGCTTATAAATAAGTTAAATGATGTTAGAGACAACATATAATTAAATCAGGACACATGCAGGCATGGGTGTGATTAGGAAACTTGTAAATAATGACAAAACAACTGGCAGTTAAGCTTCTTATTCCAGCCTTTAAGTGATCCCTCTGCATCTATGAGGGGTTACCTGACACAGGCTTCATGCTGTGATTTAGTATCCCCTTGGGGATTGGGGGAGGGACCCGCCCCATCAGTGCCCCTACTGGGGTACCTGCTCTAGGCGACGTCTGATGATGGGCCCTGTCCCGCTCCTGCTGCTCTGCCAATTTAGCTGCTCGCTCTGCAAAGCAATAAAGACCAGCAAAAGTGTTCATTTCATACGGTTCACAACTCTTGAAACACAACCATCTAGGTGAAGAATAGAATCAAACAAGTTCCCCCCACCTTCATAATCTGCTTTCCTGGAACCCTCAAGGTTCCTCCACTCTGTGCCGACGAGGCGGCTGAGCTCCCCGAAGGAGAAGTCTGGGTTCCGGGCTTTGATGACCGCCCGCATCTCACTGCTGAACAGGATGTAGCCACTCATGTTGATCTTCCGCTTGGAGCCCTCCTTCTTTGGAAGGCCCTTTACGGATTTTGGTGTGGACTGCAAGCGAACACAGTTCAAAGCGTCTTTACATGAATGCTAACAGCATGTTTTCATAGAATATTAACATTTGTAACTCTTCCACCCTGACCTGCAAAGGAGTGTAAGGTATGGTATCCATGTCACTAGACATGGAAGAGTGCCTCCGAAAGCGAGACCGGTCCCCTAGCTCGCCATCATCATCCC